GTCTAGCCCATGGGTAGGCAAACTAAGGCCCAGGGACCAGATCTGGCCCAATCGCCTTCTAAATCCAGCCCGCAGACGGTCCAGGAATCAGCATGTTTTGAGTAGAATGTGTCCTTTTATTGGAAAGGCATCTCTGGGTTATTTGTGGGGCATAGGAATTCGTTCACTTTTTTCTTCTTCAAAATATTGTCTGGTCCCCCACAAGGTCTGAGGGACAGTGGACCAGCCCCCTGCTGAAAAAGTTTGCTGACCCCTGGTAGCCCTACTCATTTCTCATAAACTGTTCTCTTAATTTCTTATACTCCCCATAATTCTACCCATGAACCACATTTTGTTGTTTGTTTCAAGGCAGTCAATCGCTTTTGAGAATGTTCTGTGATGTAATGAGCTACTCTTGCAATTTACAATCTCAATTTAGGTCGATGCATTCCCAAAATGACATCTTCATGCCAAAACTACCCAGAAAAGCCAACTGGTTATGCACTTTGGTGCAAATAAATGACCATGAGAATCATGGTGCAACCCCAAGTCATAAGCAACCACGTTAGGACTATAGGGAAGACCATTCCTTGGTGAGTCCCATACAGCTCAGTCTGGAAACTACACATTTACAGACTTGGACTGAATTCATGCTAAGTCTCTTGATCGCAGTGGATTTAATACTTTGATTACCTCGGTAAAGCCCAGCATGAGATTTTGTTAAAAAGTATCTACCTAGCATATGCATGATTATTAATGAATCCAGCACTGCTATAACCCCTTCTCTGCCTTCCCATGTGCAAACAAGTCCCTCTGGAATTTAAGGGTGAGCTCTAATCACTTTTCATTTATCTTCCTACCCTGCCTTTTCAACAAGGAGTTCTGGGCAACATATATGGAAGGTGAAGATTCCACATGGTATCCTCAGAACAACTCTGTGAGGTAGGTGTAGTTAAAATCTTGAGTGAGTTCTGTGGCTGGGTGAGAACTTGGGACTAAGTCTCCGTGGTCCATGACTGGCACCCGTTTAACTTTACAAACCTTTGCCCTCACCGCACAACAACCTACCAATGTGCTGCCGCTGATTCTAGTGATAGTCTCAGAAAAATGAACCAGGGATTTGCATTAAGCTGTGCTGCTCTCATGCAGTGTCACTAATATCCAGGGCATGAATACACTGCAGGGAGCTGTACCCATTGACCTGAGATGTTTCAGCTGCTCGTGGACATCTTTCCAAGTATTTCAAAGAATCATAGCATTGAAGAGTTGGAACTTGGAAGGGACATGTGGGTCATTTAGCCCAACAAAACCAGAGGCAGTTTTAGGGTGGCGTGGCCAAGTTTCTCTGCACTGAGCTCTGAGCCTAAGGAGTGGTGCAGGGTGTTGCAACTATGATGTAGTGAATCGAGCAGAATGGAAGGCGAGAGGTGGGATTTTGGCCTCACACAGGTCCCCAATGAAATTTTAAAAGTCCACCCCTGATGGAAGCATCCATGACAGTTAGCCATCCAACCTCTGCTTAAAATCCTCCAGTGAAAGAGAGTCTACCTTAAGTTTACCAGATGTTCCCGTTTCCCAGGGACAGTGCCCGGATTTACAGCTTTCTCAGCATTTACATTTACATAGCAAACAATAAGTGTCCCCGGATTCATTGAAAAAAATCTGGTCACCTTAGTCTACCGCCTTCCAAGGGAATTTGTTCAGATGAAGTCTTCCCACCCCCTCTCTCTATGTAGGATCTTCCCATGTTCCTGGTCTAAAAGCATGGACCAAGGATGTGGAACCTGTGGCCCTCCAGATGCTGTTGGACTCCAGCCCCCACCAGCATAGCCAATGGTCAGGGATGATGAGAGCTGCACATCAGGAGGACCACAGGTTCCCTGTGGAACCAGAAAGTATGGGAAGCGTTTGCACAAGAAGCTCTGGTGGGACCATACACTACCATTTCTAATGCAAAAGGAGGACTAACGGGACCTGCCATCAAACCATTGGTCCATCAGTATTGTCTACGCTGACCAGTACCAGCAGTGGCTCTCTGGGGTTTCAGGAAGCCCCCCCCCAGCCCTAACAGGAGATGCTGAAGATTGAACCTGGAACCTTCTGCATGCACAGCAGAATCCCTACCACTGAGTTACAGCTTTTCCCAATGAATAAGAGGACAACACAAGCTGTCAAGACCCAATACATGAGAATGGTATGGCTAGGTATGAATTAGATGAGCCTTTGACTTCCATAGATGCTTCAATGTGCCTTGAGTTAGACATGAAGTCCATTCCTAGAAACTTCCAGTATATTTCTTGGTGAGATTCCCCCCCCCCCCTTATGAGAACAAATAGAAACAATAATTTGATCGGTGTGAATTCCCCCTTCCTCCAATCCTTATCCCAGGGACTTTCCTTCTTAAGGGCTGGAAAGACCTTGGACGTAATATACACTTGAATGGGAACTGCATAAGAGCACACCTAGGGCTCTTGCACGTTTCCCATTCTCTTCGGTGTTGCTTGCCTGGCACATGCTGCCAGTGGCTGATGTCCAGTTTCACTGAGTCTTACGGAGGACAAATTCGTTTCAAGTCAAGAGCAACTTGTATGCTCCAGTCTTCGATGTGTTTGCAATCTGCCCCATTCACTGCAATGGAGGATGCAACTCCACTTTTACAATGCACTCTCCACTGAAGAAAATGGAACAGACTTTCTCAGCAGGGACATCAGTGTGTGCAGCTATGAGAGCCACCAGACATTGCCCAGTACATGCAATCTATCCCTGATGGAAAGGATATCCTATCTCTCTCCATTTAACCCATAAACCCATTTCCCCCAAATTCAGTTTGGATCCCCCCCCCACAACCCAACCCCAGTCCACAACAACAAAAGATAATTGCAGGTTTGCAGGCAAAATATTATAACAAAAAGCATATTAGGCCCCTTCCCACCCCAAATGAAAAATGCTCAAACAAAAGTTTTGGGACAATAATACGAAGATTGCTATGACAAAATAGACAAGGAGGGGTTATCTGGAGTCTTTTACTGTGTCTGTGGGTTTGGGAAAGATCCTGCACCTTTGTCCCCCCCCCCCAAAAAAAAAACAACTGGTGATTCTTCTCTATAAAAAAACCCTGATCTATTTTTCTTCACTGAAATATTGCTGATCGTTTTACGGTTAAAAGAAAAGGCAGGATTATGTCTGAGGAAAGCGTGCGATTTGTTATTTCACCACCAGAAAATAAGAGAGGAAGCAATTCCACATGTTCATTTTTCCTCAGAAAAGATCAAAACTGCTTGATCAATTCTTATACTCCTCTTGCCTTCTTGCAGAACAATTTCCAGCTAACTTGGCCACTTGGAAAGTGGCGGCATCGATTTCTGTTTGAGGTCTTATGGAAACACAGAGGGAAACGTGTTTTAAAACATGGTGGTTCTGAATTCAAAGTCTGAGGGGGTCAGATTTTTTTTTTTAAAAAAAACCTTGGTGTCAAGAGGAAGACGCCAAATGCATCAGGCCATTTCCTCGACACAATATGACAATCCAAACCCTGAAGATGAGGAAGACCTGCATGTTAAGATGCTTCCATACTTTTTCCTCGCAGGAGAAAGCCGGAAGAACATCTCCACCCCATCTGCATGGGACAGAAGCATGGAAAAATGAGCAGAATGACGCACGCCAAAGAAATGGAACTCCTTGGGTTTCAAGTTCTCTTTTTATTGAATAAAAGAAAAAGAAGAAAAAAAAATAGATTTTTTTCCCAAGTGGAATTTGCTCAATTTTTTTTTCCCAGTTTGACTCAAAGTCCCTAAGGCAATGTTCTCCATATGTTCTCAACTTTTCCATGTCTCTTAACCGGGGATTGTCTACTTGAGGAAGCAGACCGGAGGAAAGATGTTGTTCAGTCTTTCGAAAGCAACGAGGGGGTAAAATGAGGCCACACGTGAACCTTTGTACAAAGGCCCACAATGAGCTTGCCTAGGGTCTACTAGCAGTCAACATATGACCTACATTCTTGTTTGTTCATTGTTTGTTTGCTTGGTTTTTTGTTTTTTTAAAAAAACCCTCCCCTTCCCACTTAAGGTTCTTCTCTCTCTCTTTTTTGTTTGGAAACCAGTTGAGTGGATCTCAATTGTCTTAATTGGAGATCTCTTCATTGTCCATACATCACACTTTTTATTGTTATTGTTTTTTACGGAGAGTTCAGAAAATCCAGTATGGAAGGTGATGTCCGCTGCCCCACCAGGACTCCCGCTTCCATCCAACTTCCCTGCCCCAATCAGGCATCCTCTGAGCTAGCTCCCAGAGGACTGCTGGAGAAATCCCAACTTTCTGAGGAGGAGGCCTCTTCCCGGTTGAGGGGGATCTCTGTTCCTGATGACGTTCTGGTGGCTGCGAGGAGACAGAAGGGAGATGGGCAGGTTCCTCTCAATCCACCTCTAGAAGAGACAATGGGTCACAGGATGTGTCCAGTGGAACTGTGGGTACCCAATGCTCAGTCAAGCACCTCCTGAGTTTCCATTCCAGACACCCATTGTGGCAGCACGACTAGCAGCATCCTCTTGGTGAAGATCCTCCGTTAATCCATTTGCCGCTGAGGCCGATGCCATTTTTTAAAAAGAAAGCAACAACCTCTAATCCTCCCTTTCCCCTTATTATTTCATCATTCCCTTCCCTTCGCCGTTGCCTTCTCTCTTCCCCCACCCACCCCCGGCCATCTTCCTTACCTGGGAAAGACCGTATTGCGTTCCGTACCTACTGCTACTATGTTCTACAAAGTAATAGTTTTCCCCACCCGACTCTGTCTCCCGAGAACAATACAAAGGTTACTCCATATTATGTTTCCTTTTTAACTGAAAGGTTTCGAAAAGAAACCAACAGACATTGCTCTCTTGCTCCATTTCAATTCTGTTTGATTGGTTCTCTTTTTATTATTATTATTTTAAAAAATCTTTTATCTGTTTGTATTTTGTGTTTTGTTTTCCAGGGTGGGGGGAAAAGGACACCCAAAGAGTCTTTCTTCTTGCTTTTTTCCCTCCTCAGACCTCTGTCTGGAGGTCGATAATGTCCTGTCCCACCAGGGGGATTGTGGCGCCCGCCTTTTCCCACTCAACAGTTTTGAGTTCCAAGGGAGACTGTGACACCAACTCCATGTCCTTTTTAACCCACGCCGGCGGGGAGTGGACCTTCCGGATCCCTTCCCAGGGTCTCTTGTTTGGTGTCTGCTGTTTTTCTTGCTGCAACAAAAGGGGGGGGAACAAAACAGGGAAAAAAGAGAAGAGATCAGATTTCCATGAAATTAAGTTGAGAGGAAGGCCAAAAGGTTTTGTCGATTCTTTTGGCTGAATTGATAAAAAAAAAAGAGCTTTCGATCGATTAAAATGGCACTGGATTAATTGGGAGGTGGATGGCTTTAAAATTAATTACTTGAATGCAAGTATTTGCAAAAGCCTCAGGTGACAGTCAATATATTTGAAAAGGTAATTTCCCCCTTTCCCTCCTTTACTAAAGAATATGCATTTGTAGTGGCAACTTCAGTGCATGCATTACTCCCCCCCACCACCACCAAAAAGCCATGTCCATTTGGAGCAATTTGGGTTGGGGTAATTGCATGATAAGAGAAGGATAAATCCTCCTTCCCTGGCACTGGGCCTTGGCCATGAATGCCCTACCAGAGGGATGGAGACCCTTCAGCCTGGTGCTTGAATCTGGTCCTCCATGCCTCCCTGTTTGGTCCCTGAAACTCTCCCCAGACCACACCCCCTCATCAGCCCTGCTCCGGACTCCCCTCTGGTACTCTGGTTTGGCTGAAATGTGTCCTTGAGCTGTGATAATGCTTCTTGTCTGGATGGATGAAGAGATGTGGGCGGGAGAGGTTTGCAGAAACTTCTGGGTACCTAGAATGCACCCTGCAGTATTGTCAGGGATTGTGCTGAGGAGGGCTGCGCTGAGGAGGAATGGTGGAAGCCTCCCCCTGCTCCTGAGCAGGATCCTGAGTCTTCCCAGGAGCAGTGGGACAGTATAGATTTGGAACAGTGGTTTGCAGAGGGACATAGTTCAGAAGGCAGAAGTTGGGAAGAACTGGGTGGGGAACAGCTAGGAGAAGAAGAACTGGGAAAGAGAGAGAGTTAACAGACTCACTCTCTCTGGAATGTGTCCATCTGATCAGTCCAAGGTCAAGGAGATCAGATAAGGTGGCAGCTCTGAAAGCTCAGTGGTTGCGAGATCAGGCTGCAAGATGCGGTAGTGACGTGGGTGACAAGGGGGGGGAGTGGGTGGAATCTTTAACTGGGAGCACCTTCATTCCTAGGAATGGATTCTTTGTTCTCTTGCTGTGATCATTAAAATCTCAAACTGGTAAGAGTCTCCTTTTATTTTGTTCTGTTTATCTACTGCCAAAGGGGGACGGGGAGGAAGCTGAGTCCCTGAAGCCTGACAGGGATAGAGGTAAAAGTCACATCCATTGCACAATACAGTTTCCTTTTGTCTCCGCCAATCACTTGTTTGTAGCTCCCAGAAAAACTTCCACAACCTACAAGGGAAGGTAACCCTCAGCCTGAAAAATGTTCCCTATTCCTGCTCTACCACTGCATCTGCTATTTGCATTTTTTAAAAAAGTGGGAGCTCCAGTCATGGCTCAGTTGGAATCACATCTAGTTTGGCCCTTAATTTCACCATCCTTCCCCTTGTTACGCTAATGAACTGGCTGCAATGGCTTGTAGAAGGAAGGATTAGGAAATGGGGATCCCCTGGCAATATACGCAAGCTCTGCCCTTCCCACTAAATGGCAGACAATTCATGTTCCTGATGCCATCGGAAATCTCATCATTCTGGATCAACTGGGAGGGATCACTGCTATAATTATCTGCCATCTTGTGGAAGGCCAAGGCTCATGTAATTTGACAGGAAGCATTCTTAAAAACCTGATAAACTTCTCCTTGCTCGGTGGCACCAGACAAACTTAGTGGTATTCTGTGATTTATATAGATGTAAGCACAATAGGATCTTTCCATAACGCTACCCAAAATAGCATGTTCGAAACCCAAGGGGGATATTTTGCTTTTAAAATGGTGCACCATTCTCTTCAATAAAGCAGCCTGTAGAAACCTCACCAAGAGCGTTATTACAATTCACAAAGGGATTTTTCATGCGAAATATCTGCCATGGGAAAGATTAGGGGTTACTGGAGAGAGAAAAGGAGTGTAGGATTCAATTCAGGCAGTCACAGCACTGGGGGAATGGAAGTAAGGGACACATGTGTGATGGCTGAGGAGAAATTGAAGGAAACTCAGGAAACCTCACTTGGGTGGGGGGGAATAAACCTCCTTTTGTGCTACAAAACTTATCTACTAGTTCTTTGGATGTAAGAATTTTCCATCCTTTTGAGAGGCTATCCCTCCATGCTGTGAGGGGATGTGGCACTGGAGGAGCTGTGTGGGAATGTGGGGTCGGGATGAAAGTCAAAGGAGAGGGGTTAGCGTGGGGTGGGCCATCTGCAGGGTTGGTGAGCAAAATTAGCAGGGTCTGGAGCCCCTAGTAATACAGTGGTACCTGCTGGGATTCCATTCCACCTTTTGCTGCAGACATGGGATTATTGCATTGTCACATGTCTGTTTACATTCCAGCACAGATTGGCGTGAGCGGAACCTTCCGCTCTGTATAGCTGTTGTTTTTGGCGCTCTCTCTGAGAAGACGGCAAGGAGAGACGACATGTTTCTTTGTCCTGAATTATGTTTAATAAGGGACGTGGGTGGCGCTGTGGGTTAAACCACAGAGCCTAGGACTTGCCGATCAGAAGGTCAGTGGTTCGAATCCCCATGAAGGGATGAGCTCCCGTTGCTCGGTCCCTGCTCCTGCCCACCTAGCAGTTCAAAAGCACTTCAAAGTGCAAGTAAATAGGTACCGCTCTGGCGGGAAGGTAAACGGCATTTCCGTGCATTGCTCTGGTTCACCAGAAGCGGCTTAGTCATGCTGGCCATATGACCCGGAAGCTGTACACCAGCTCCCTCGGCCAATAAAGCGAGATGAGCACCACAACCCCAGAGTCGGCCACGACTGGACCTAATGGTCAGGGGTCCCTTTACCTTTACCTTTATGTTTAATAAATGCATAGCTTAGTATGCATCTACAGCCTCAAGCCTCTTCTGTTGTGCAGTATACACTGCTGAGTAAAGTGTGCTCAAGTCTGTAAGCTTGAGTCGCTGATGTACGTAGGAGCAGAGGTCGACGAATCTTCACAGTGGCAAGGCTGAGAGGGAGACCTTCTAGCTGGGGCCGAGCCAGCTGGCCTATCAACTCCAAGATGCCCACAGTACCTTGGTTGTGGAATGGCTTGGCTCCCAAACAAATTGGCTCCCGAAAGCTGCAAGCCTGGAAGTAAGTGTTCCGGTTTGCGAACGTTTTTTGAAAGCCAAACGTCTGACGCAGATTCTGCGGCTTCCAATTGAGGGCAGGAAGCTTTGATAGCTGCACCCTGGTTTTCAAATGGTTCCGGGAGTCGAACGGACTCCTGCAATGGATTAAGTTCAACATCCAAGGTACCACTGTACATCACACTAATTGCATGGAACACACATAAACATTTAAGTTGTGACCTTGCAGCTCTTACATGTTTCTAATATGAGCCTTGGTACTTAAAAAGTTCTCCACCTTTCTTACATCAACTCTATAACATGAAGTGGTCATGAAGGTTGCTCCCTTTGGTTTCATCTCTATCCGTTTTTTTGGTCCTGAGGTGCTCCCAGATGCCCAGAGCCTGCCATTCCTTTTTTCAACAAGGCTTTTAAGTGGAGATTAATTATCCATCAGTACCTGTATTAGAAGGAACGCGGGTGGCGCTGTGGGTTAAACCACAGAGCCTAGGACTTGCTGATCAGAAGGTCAGCGGTTCGAATCCCCGCGATGGGGTGAGCTCCTGTTGCTCGGTCCCTGCTCCTGCCAACCTAGCAGTTCGAAAGCACATCAAAGTGCAAGTAGATAAATAGGTACCGCTCTGGAAGGTAAACGGCATTTCCGTGTGCTGCTCTGGTTCGCCAGAAGAGGCTTAGTCATGCTGGCCACATGACCCAGAAGCTGTCTGCGGACAAACGCCGGCTCCCTCAGCCTATAGAGCGAGATGAGCGCCCAACCCCAGATACATACGTACATATGAACGTATATATATGGTTTGGGCCACAATTTACCCAACATATGGCAGTTTCCGTTGTTCAGTGTGAGTAGTGGGAATGGTTTCTACAAGAAAGGCTTGGAAAACACACATCCAACAGAATGAGTTGCAGCTGAAATGTAAAAAATAAGTGCTTCCAGTACATAATGTGGGTCTATATAACTAGACTGAGATGATTATCTTAAGAAGGTGTTTATAATAAGCGATGAATGGCACAAGAATCTTTTTGTGCTTCCTTTTTCTATCCATTTGTCCTCCGATCACTTAATATTTGTTCTTACTGGATGGGCTATTGACTGTAGCCTGTTTTCTTATAAAGATAGTCTTTATGTATTTATGGATTGTATTAGTTATATTACATCGAAATAGGTCTTACTTAAATGAAAAGTGGTACAAAAAAAGCACACCTTTAAAATGTGCTGATCGTTTTCCAGTATTGCCCACGTTGTACATGTTAAATATTTGAATTAGGTCATTCATAATTTTTTTTTAAAAAAAGAAAGTAAAAACAAAATACAGCCCCAGGGATTTTTACTTCCCGCCCCTGCAATGTGTTGAGGAAATAAATGAATGCCACATTTGCAGACCTTTTTCTCTGCATAAATTCTGGGCATCAGGTTTGCCCATGAAAGGCTTCAGCTCAAAGCAGGAGATTGACAGCTGCACTGAACTGGAAACAGTTCTGAATTTGGTCCCTCTTCAAGGCCGTGGATCAAAGCCACCACCCTCCTCCCCAAAAGAGATTGGGAGAATATTCCTTTTATCACCTTCAAAGCAAATAGCGGGTGGTACGTGAACAAAAGATTCCTTCCTCCTCTCCACAGTGCATGGTTAGAGGCTGAGCTCTGGCTTCAAGCATCACCCAGCCTGAGCAGGAGAACCTCCCTCCCATCACTCAGTGACGTGACTTCAGAAGCAAGACGTTCTACTGACTGGGTGAGTTCTGCTCGAGGGTCTCCTGCTTATTGGTAGCAAAGCAACTTCCAGCTCATTTTTCCCAAGTCTTGGTTCACAGGAGGGGAAGGGCTGATCTAAAGAGCTTCAGGAAAGTGCTTAAGGAAGTGTGTGAGAGATATTTTGAGCCTCAAAGGGATGCTTCCGAATTCTTCTGTGAAATCTTCCTTCTGCAAAGCCTAGTCTCTCTAGCCCAGCTACTCTTCCTCAAACAGTGGTCCATGAAAATCCACAATAAGGGCACACCAAGAGATTCATCCTTCTGCTGCTCACCAGCAGCTTATATTTGAAAGTCACAAAATATGCACTCTTGATGGATTCTCTTGAAAACATAGAACCAAATAAGCATAAGACTTATGGTTCTGTGTTTTCAAGAGAATCCATCAAGAGTGCATATTTTGTGACTTTCAGAGATTTATAAGATTTATTTGGTTTCGCAGAGAGTGCGTATTTCATATATTTCATACTGTTCAATGCTCTGCATAGATTATATAAAGAGTTTATATTGACATCGCATTGTTGTACTTGGTCATCGTGTTGCTTTGGATATTACTGATAATTGTTTGCAACACAGGGGTTTAATTGTTTGGTTACTGCTCACCAGCAGCTGGCATTCAGTGGCAATACTGCCTCTGAGCAGGAACGCTTCCCTTCCTCCACCCTCCTCCTCCTCCTTTCCTTTTGCGTCAAGGGACCATGTTACTTTTTTTTTCTTGTCGCAAAGCAGCTGCTCTGGGGTGCTTTTGAGCTGAAAAGCTAGGGTGAAAAACAGCACTAGGAAACCTCTAATAAAATAAATGTTCGTGGCTAATAGTCACTGACAGACTGCCCCCATCCTTCTCCAAATATTTATCTATCTTCACGGCCTAGGACCCTTGTACCTATGGGACCGCCTCTCCCAATATGCCCCAAGGAGGACCTTAAGGTCCATAAATGGCAACACCCTAGAGGTCCTGGGCCCTAAGGAAGTCAGATTAGCCTCAACCAGAGCCAGGGCCTTTTCAACACTGGCCCCGGCTGGTGTAACGTTCTGTCTCATGAGACCAGGGCCCTGCAGGATCTGATTTCTTTCCGCAGGGCCTGTAAGACAGAGTTGTCCCGCCTGGCCTTTGGCTTGGAATCAACTTGATCCCCTCCCCCTCTTTCCTTTTTCCTTTCTCCTTTTGTGATGGAACTCCTATTCGGGGACTTCCCTGGCTTTTTTCTGGCCCATGTAGGACCAGTCTGGATAGTTGGCCTTGGTAAAGACTTGACGTTTTCATCCCCAAAAACGTTTTTGATTTGAGTTCCTACTGAAATGAGGCTGCATTTTAATGCTGTATTTTAATCTTGTTTTTAAGTTGTATTTCAATCAATTGTTTTTATTGAAACAATTGTTAGCTGCCCTGGGCTTGGCTGGGGAGGACGGGATATAAATAAAATTTAATAATAATAATAATAATAATAATAATAATAATAATAATAATAATTTAGTCCTCTTCGGAAGACATCAGACTTGAAGACCTCTCACTAACTCTTGTCTTATGTTTGTGAATTCCAGCCAGTGGCCACAATTACTGCATGCCTGGGGATTGGACTAGAAGACCCTCGGGGTCCGTTCCAGCTTTACCATTCTACGACTCGATGTGTTGTGTGAAGAAGGGAGGTTTTCTTCTTCTCAATGGTGATGTCTGTCCTGAACCTGCTGCCAGGACAGTCGTTGGGGTAGCCATGGAACCAAGGTGATGGAAAAGCTTCGTAACCATAAAACATGCTTCTGAGATGGGCGAAGTGGACATCTTTGGACATTGGCAAGGCAAGAGAAGGTGGTTGCCAAGTAAGTATGGTTTGGGAGGGATGCAGTCAAGGCTCTAACAATGTTGGAGGGAAATGGATTGGGAGAGTTGCATGATTCCTCTTTTCTGTGCGATGTCGGGAGCAGAAGGGTCAAGGGAGCATTCGAGGGGTGCTTGGCCCATGATTGAGAGGACCGGATGCTTACTTAAGGATAGGAGAATGCATTTGAAGACATGCGCCATGGCGAGGATTGGAAGGGAGGATGTCTCTATGAGGTTCATTAAGGAAACGCAGGCAGTAAGACTTACGCTAGCGTTAGTTTTATCACTTCCGCCCGAAGAAACACTCCATCGTTTTATAGCCTGAATGCACAAGAGAGAACAGGGTGTTTCCCTCCTCTTTGATCAACGTAATTGAATTGGCGCACACCAAGGAACAAGGATGCGCCTCCTGCGCCCAGGAGAACAGTGAAATAACCATTCCAGAGCATTTACCCTTTAAAAACATAGTGCTTGGTGGGGAAAGGGAAACGTGCAGAACTGGAGAGGAAGCTGCAAAAGGAACCATAAAATCCTGGCAAGCAGTGTTGCATTACGGGCCTCCATAGGAACACAGAAAGCTGCCTTCTACTGAGTCAGACCTTTGGGTCCATCAAGCTCATATTGTGTACTCTGACTGGCAGAAGCTCTCCAAGATTTCAGACAATGGTCTCTCCCAGCTACACCTGGAGATGCTACACCTCCAGGTATACCTGGATATTCATACATTGCAAGGGTTGAATTAGATGACATTTGGGGTCCTTTCCAATTCTACAATTCTATGATTCTGTGCTTCTATGCCAGGGATTGAATCGGGGTCATTCTGTCTGCAGAAGAGGGGTTATGTCACTGCACTATGGTTCTTCTTAATTTCTAAAGACAGCGTGGGGAGAATCATTCTTGAGATTATACCCTAGTTATTTTATTTATTAAATTTATTACTCGCTTTTTTTGCCACGGCAACTCAAAGCGACTCACAATATTTTAAGCAAGCAAACACATACATGCATTAAAACCAGCTTTAAAAACAACCTAAGACAATGTGGTTGTTTTCTTCTTAAAAAACCCTACATTAAAAATCCCGTCCGTGAAAACAAAAATGCTGTAGAGAATTCAAAGCCAAAGGCCTGGTGAAAAACAAAATGTTTTTGTTGAACTAGAAGCTGGTATTGACTTCTGATTCATCCTGCCTTAATTAATCCAGAATAAAGGAAGATGATCATGGATAAAAAACCAGGATGTATCTGCAAGAAGTAATTCTTCGTGCAGAAACTTCTCAAATATCCCCTGCTGCTTAGCTCAATCATGGAAAATTAATATTATTTCGCACAGGTGTAGCACAAAGTATGAGATAGTGTTACTCTTGGGCTTAGTCCTGCCTCTGTGTGGTGTACTAAAGCACAGGGAGCGCTGTAGGCCAGGCACTCTGCTTGGGGGCCAGATCATTATTTCTGCCCCCCTTGAGGTTTAACAGGTGGGCGGAGCCTGAGATTTAGGAATGATGCCATCATCCAAGGTCGATAGCATTGGGACAGTAGAATGCAGCTTTTGAAAAAAGGCAGGCTGAAGTTTCTCCAGAAAGAACTTTCAGCTGAACAGTTTATGGGGAAAATTTATGGGCTGGGGATCATCCATCATTTGGCAAAAATTTGCCTGGATACCATTTTGGCCAGCGATTCCTGGACATGTCCAGGAAAACCAGGACGTATGGCAGCCCTATATCTAGAAGACACGGGAGCAGGGAGTCAGAGAAAAATTGAAGTCATTTGAGCTTTTCTCCAGTCAAACGAAGAAGAATATTTATCGAAAACAGATTTTCAAACTGCAAATATCCTCACATGGGTGGGGGAGAATAAAAGGCAGGAGGGTTTTGCCCACAGGTGCAAAATTATGGTTTTTGGAATTTCCCAGGTCCTTTGTTTGCAGGCCCCCAAATAAATTAGGTCCCCAAGGATGGAGTTTTCAGGAAACTGGGCCAGAACTCACCTTGCTGTCTGTTGTTGGGGACTCCTTCTCTTTCTCTGCATGCTGCAGCTTTCGGTTCAAGTCCTGGAACATGTCTTGGTGACGTTTTCTCGTGTGCATGATTTTCTGCAACGGGCGAGAGAGAAACAGTCAGGATATCCCAGGTCCATCAAAGCCTCAGGCAGGAATTGTGAGATCAATTAAACCTAATTAGGAATGGGTGAATCTGTCCCAGTTTCTCATTGTTCTAGTCCTCATTTCTCCACATTTCCATATCACTTCATTATATATATATATAGAGAGAGAGAGAGAGAGAGAGAGATCTGATGAAAATTCTTCAGTGTTTTAGTGCAGCTCTCTCTTAATATAGTTATTTTTGGGTGCAGTTTCCCCTAATATAAATTTACTGATTTACACTTATAAACTGCTTGGTTATAATAAAACTTCTAAGCCGTTTACAGTTTTTAAAAACATGTTAAGATGATCAATAAAAAGGTTAAAAAGAGGTATCTAAAACATTTGTAACATAATTAAATTAGCTTTTAAAGAAATCAAAAAAGATAACTAAACTCAACAGAGAGCAAAAGGATTAATACACATGCCAGCCTGCTACATTTGTGGATAGGGTCGCCAAACAAAAACATTTTAAGCAAGCACCACAAAGAGCGTTTGCCTGGTTTCAATAGGCAGGGAGTTCCAAAGTGTGTGTTCTACCATAGTAAAAGATTGATTTCTTACAAGTGTGGAATGAGTATTATTATATGGCACCTGTGGTAGTGCAATGCATTTCTGTATGCTATTTTCTCTAATGCATAGACTTTGATGCATACTAAATCCTAGTGTGTGCATTTCTGAACACACTGGTACCCCTGCCCGTATGGGCCAGTCTTGACAGACTCTAGGGTTGTGCGCCCATCTCACTCAAGAGGCCGGGGGCCAGCGCTGTCCGGAGACACTTCCAGGTCACGTGGCCAGCGTGACATCGCTGCTCTGGTGAGCCAGAGCCGCACACAGAAACGCCGTTTACCTTCCCGCTAGTAAGCGGTCCCTATTTATCTACTTGCACCCGGGGGTGCTTTCGAACTGCTAGGTTGGCAGGCGCTGGGACCGAGCAACGGGAGCTCACCCCGTCGCGGGGATTCGAACCGCTGACCTTTCGATTGGCAAGCCCTAGGCGCTGAGGCTTTTACCCACAGCGCCACCCGCGTCCCGCGAATTAGGTAGGGTTGCCTTTAAATGTGAACCGGATTGAATTTCTCCCCCATCTTTAGTCCTAGCCAAGTAAAAATGCAGGACTGAAAACCCCCCTAAATGGCCCAATGAGTACTGAGAATGATCATTGCTCTCAGAACGCAGGATGTCCGTTTGCAGGGGGCTTCCATTTGGTGGGTTCGCCCCTTTTTGTACTTTTGCAAACCTTGGGGTTCCCCCAAACCTCTTAATACCATCCTCATGAGAGCGGATGGTCCTGTTTGGGCTACATAAGGAGAACGAGGTCGCTGTTTGTATATAGGATTTTTCATCCAAAACGAACCACTTCATTCTTTCAGTTAATGCGAGGCCTACTCAGAGAGGTGCCCTATGCAACACTCTGGGATACAGTTGCTGGACATTTTCTTCGATGCCTGGCTACCAGAAATTCTCTGTGCACTGCCCATGAGTCAAATTAGGCACACATTTGCATCAATGTACATTCCAGTGGGAGGGATGCAGGTGGCGCTGTGGGTTAAACCACAGAACCTAGGACTTGCCGATCAGAAGGTCGGCGGTTCGAATCCCCGTGACGGGGTGAGCTCCCGTTGCTTGGTCCCTGCTCCTGCTAACCTAGCCGTTTGAAAGCACATCAAAGTGCAAGTAGATAAATAGGTACCGCTCTGGCTGGAAGGTAAACGGCGTTTCCGTGTGCTGCTCTGGTTCACCAGAAGCGGCTTAGTCATGCTGGCCACATGACCCAGAAGCTGTATGCCAGCTCCCTCGGTCAGTAAAGCGAGATGAGCGCCACAACCCCAGAGTCGGCCACGACTGGACCTAATGGTCAGGGGTATCTTTACCTTTACCTTTACATTCCAGTGGAGAAAATTACCCCTTGTTATGGGGAATACGCAGTGCTTTTTTTCCTAGAAAAAAGAGGTGCCAGAACCCACTATGAATGCCTCCCTCATCTTATAATGGCAATGGCACCCACCTGAGAGGTGACGGAACTGAGTTCCAGGGAGTTCTGGCTGAAAAAAAATAGCTCTGAATATGACACAAACTGATTCATGGGTTCTCGGGACTCAGACAATGACTCCAGACATTTTGGGTGTTAGGACAGTCAGTTCACTATATATGAAACTAAATTCAATGGAGGAATGGGGATGATAAGATTCACTCTCATCCTGACCTGTCCATTATGTAAATGGGGAAGTACTCACCTCGAAATCTAGCTCTGCATACCGGGATTTCCGTCTCTGAGGATTGAAAGAGAAAGACAGATTAGCAGTAGGGTGAGCCAAGTGTGACGCGGCAGCTAAAAAAGCCAATGCAATTCTGGGCTGCATCAATAGGAGTATAGCATCTAGATCAAGGGAAGTAATAGTGCCACTGTATTCTGCTCTGGTCAGACCTCACCTGGAGTACTGTGTCCAATTCTGGGCACCACAGTTCAAGAAGGACACTGACAAACTGGAACGTGTCCAGAGGAGGGCAACCAAAATGGTCAAAGGCCTGGAAACGATGCCTTATGAGGAACGGCTAAGGGAGCTGGGCATGTTTAGCCTGGAGAAGAGGAGGTTAAGGGGTGATATGATAGCCATGTTCAAATATATAAAAGGATGTCATATAGAGGAGGGAGAAAGGTTGTTTTCTGCTGCTCCAGAGAAGCGGACACGGAGCAATGGATCCAAACTACAAGAAAGAAGATTCCACCTAAACATTAGGAAGAACTTCCTGACAGTAAGAGCTGTTCGACAGTGGAATTTGCTGCCAAGGAGTGTGGTGGAGTCTCCTTCTTTGGAGGTCTTTAAGCAGAGGCTTGACAACCATATGTCAGGAGTGCTCTGATGGTGTTTCCTGCTTGGCAGGGGGTTGGACTCGATGGCCCTTGTGGTCTCTTCCAACTCTATGATTCTATGATTCTATGATACCACCCCAATGAAACTGAACATTTTTTTTTTGCCACCGATTTTTTTTTTTGGGGGGAGCGATACTTCTCCTAGAGAAAGCACCACGCAAAGAGGCACTTGGTGTACACAATTTGCAGCAATGGCCACAATCGTGGCAGCCGTGCGGAGTCCAGGGGTGGTCCAGGGGTGGTCCTGCCATTTGGCAAAGTGAGGCAACAGCCTTAGGTGGTGGATGAAGCCCCTAGCCATTCTCCTCTGCTGAAAAAACAGAGCTGTATGTGTGCTCTGCCACATTAGCCTGCTGCTCAGAGGAGCAGTGGAGGACACGATCCCATCACTAATAATTTGGGATCAGTTAACAATCTGGGACCTGGACCACTTTACCGATGAGATCACCTGACCCCATATCAACCGCTTTGATCTGGCACAGTTATAGGAGCTACAGAATGTGAATTTTACATTTTAAAGAAATCAGTGATTTAGTGTGGCAGAACTACACTTGGGAGCTCCCTGCCTTTTGATATCAGGCAGGCTGTATGCTTTTAAAAACATTTTAGTATAGATAATCCTACTCAGTTGTTTAGAAAGTTTTAACCCGTTTTATGAAAACCATCCCTCTCTCTGATTAGTTTTATATAGGCCAGTTTACATTTCTTAGTGCAGAAAATATTTCCTATTCTACTTAGTTCAAGAAAGTTCTGGAAGTGTCTCTGTGTGAAAGGAACAAGCAGAAACTTCACGATGTTTGGGTTATTCCTTCAGAGAAGCTGAGTACAGCTGGCTTAAACTGGTCCTGTTATCTCTTCTGTCAAGGTCAAGCTGACTATAATAGTGAGGCCAGAAGGAGCCTGGGTTTCACTTTCTCTTTCTATCTCTTTTCCAACTGGTGTGGTGTTCTGTATATAGTATTTAGTTTTAGACTTATTATAAGTTATTGTGTTTTTTTTATAATTTATTTTTATTAAAGATTTTCTTGGTTTACAAAAGTATGCACAATGTCTCTCTCTCTCTCTCTCTCTCTCTCTCTCTCTCCCAAGTAACATTTTTTACAGGTCAGTTTCATTTGTTGAGACATTAGGAAGAAAAGGGGGAAAGAGGTAGAGGGGGAGGAAAGATGAGTGGGGTGGGGTGGTGATGTTTCTATTTTTCTTAATATATGTGGGGTTTTGTGTCAGCATTGCTTGTGCAGGTTCTTTGCTGTTCACTTGTGTTCCTTTGGTGGTGAGAGAGGTTGGGGTTGGCCTAGGGTGTGGTTGTTCATTTGTGGTTGGCTGTGGTGGTCTTTGTTTTCATGTGTGAGTGGGGTGGGTGGATGTTTTGGATCAGGTTAGCCATATTGATTTGTATGCTGTTGGTGGGTTTTTGTCATTGTCTTGTTGGGCTGTGTGTGTGATAAAGGGGAGCCATACTGGGGTGAAAGCGTTTTCTTCTATTTGTCCCCGTATCAGTTTCAGTTTATTGGTTAATTTTTCTAGTAAGGCTGTTTCCCATACTATTTGGTACCATTGGTCCAGGCTTACTCCTGACAGGTCTCTCCAGTTATAAGTTATTGCTAAGTTATGTCTGCTGCAACTGGATTTCTTATGGACAGTGCCAATCCTGAATGTATTGGATTTCTGACCATTATGCAGTAAAGCTCTGCTGGATGAAATGTCTCTGGTCTATTTTTGGAAACCCCTGCAACCTGTGTAAGTTTTTACTCTGCTAACTATACACTGGAATCTACTCTGGATCAATATTGATCAGACTTTCAATGACAACATGCCTCTGCTATCTCCCCCCAACCTTACTCCGGCCAGTCAATTTATCCCCGTATTGTATCAATACGACTGGTTCTTTTTCAAGGCCTTGGGGACAGCTTGGTCTTCTTCAGCCAAGGGACCTGAGGTCCTTTCCAACCAGAGATGCAAAGGAACCTGCAGTGTTCTCCGTGCAAAATGTGTGCAATATCACGTAGCTACCACCCAGCCACATACCTCAAGGGAGCTCATGGAAAGGGTGGAAACCGTCTCACTCTTGGACACCATGCCAGAGTTGCCAGACTCGCCCGTGTCACACAAGCTGTTTGGCATCTGTGAGTCACCAGACTTGTTAACCATCGGAGGCGACAGCTGGTGCTGCTGCTGCTGCTGCAACATTGGCGAAGCCTGAGCCTCCCCACAGCCCATGACCACAGGCTCCCTTGGAGGGCTCTTGACAACGAAACCTGGGTCAGTGGCCATACTGAGGTGGATGAGCCTCGTCTGGGGCATCTGGTCAATGTTGATGCTGTATTTTGTATCGTCCTTGGGGGGCGGCGGAGGCGGCGGAGGCTTCGGCCTCAAGGTGGCGGTGTTGGAGGGCAGGATGACATAGCTGGTGTCTATGGCTTGGTCCTGCGCCCGAGAGAGCTCTGAGTCCAGCTTCTTGAAGATGTCCCCGTCGCAGATATAGATGGACTTTGGAGGCTGGCTCTTGTCCTTCTTCAGAGTGAGGGTGTGATTGCTGAAGTCGTTGAGGTTGATGGCGCCCAGGTAGTGCGGGGAGCCTTGGAGGTGCATCTTGGAGACGTTGGCTGGAAGACTGTTGAAGTTGGACGATCCCTTCTGGTGGTTCAGCTTCAGCTTCTCCTCATCCTGCAGGGACGGGCGTTTCAGAGTCCCCGTGATGGTCATGGTGCGGCAAGTGCTGATGTCTTTGTTTAGCACTAATGGGTCGGCGGAAAGAGGCAAAGCATCAGTAACTGATGGAACTGGACGTGTCTTGCTACACAACAAAAATGACTCTCACCATCATCACACCACGAAGGGATGTCCCCACCCATCTCCAGAACAAAGGCTCCTAAAGGGATTTTTTATTTTATCATCACCATCATTATTATTTATTAAATTAGTGTACCGTCCTATACCTGCAGGTCTCAGGGCAGTTACAACATAAAATCTCAATATAAAAACACAACATACATAACCAAAATAGAAACAAAAACAAGTCAATAACTGCCCCCCTGCAACACATTTTAAAGGGGAATTAGAGTTTCGCTCTTGTTTCATTCTTGTTCTAGACTTAGTGGCTCTGCTTTCAACAGCTACTGAGTGATTTTTTGTCTCCTATTCATTCATTATGTGAAGACAATGGATGAAGAAATAAATGGCCTGTTTCTAATTTGCCTGGTTATGTTTAAAATTAATCCACAAGCTTCTCGGACTGGGTTATACATGTCAATAAATAAATAAATGTGATTTATATGTCCTCTCGAGATCCCGTGTTTAATCCACTGTGTTTGATTCATGATGCAAACATTGTATGGATATATAACCTAGTTATATATAACTATATATATAACCAGCATGAGTATATAACCAGCATGAGTCTGACCAAACTGCTGGAAGTAGTGGAGGACAGAGGTGCCTGGCGTGCTCTGGTCCATGGGGTCACGAAGAGTCGGACACGACTAAACGACTAAACAACAACAATAACCTAGTTACCTATATTGGCTTAAAATGTTTTATTGATTTTATCCTTGACTTTGGTCCCATGTAGACAGGACACCTTTGCTCAGACTCCTTGGCCCCGGTTCCCAGTTTGCTACTGGGCCAAGTTTAGCATGTTACTACTAGCATATAAAGCCCTTAACAACTTGGGATCAGTTTACCCATGAGATCACCTTTCGCAAATGATGCTTGATTGATGGCTTCAATCTGCAGAACTAGCACTCTTACAGGTGCCCAATAAAGCTCATTCCGCATTTGTAAGAACTCAAACTTTTAGTGTTGCAGCATCTACACTTTGGAACTCCCTGCCTATTGATTTCTTTCTGGAGCCTGATAAACTCATTTTTGTTTAGACATGTCTACCCAGATATCCAAAATGCTGGTGTCTGTTTTAAACTCCTTTGAGTTTATTGTCGATTTTATTTTTTTCCTGAATGCTTAAGATTGTTGTTATTAACTGTTTTTACTGATAATTTTATTGTTTTATTCTTATTGTAACTGCTTTGATTTTTTTTAAAAACAATCAAATAATGTATATATAAAGTAAATAATAAAGTGTATTTTTGTCCCTTCCCTATTTGAGAGATTAGATTCAGAATATCCTCTAGATGCTTTCAGACCAAAAGAGCAGCTTCAGCACTTATAAGAAAAGAAAGAGCCACATTCTGTAGGAGATGGAGAACATCACATGCAAACATACATATGGATCACAGATATAAATAAACAATATATTGCTATTGTTCAGCCAACTCTCAGCTGCAAGGAAAAGAGGGTTAAGAATTCATGGTTGTCTTCTATGATACACCCCAGAGTCATGGAACCACATACTTACCCAGCATATCAGCAGAACAGCTGCTTTACCTATTCCTCCCTGAAGAACAGGGGAAAATAAAAGACCAACAAATATGGGCTTGGGGGCTTCATTCGAACAATTCCCGACTAAGGGCTGGAGCGTTACATTGTTGCTGGGTGGTTGTGTTGTCTTGTAAAACACAACAGCAGGTGGTTGGGATTTAATTGGTCTGCTATGGGGCCTTGAGCTTGCTAAGCCAGCAAAATTCAAGAGCAAGCCAGCAGAAACAATGACCCAAGCCTTTGTGAGACAGGCTTCCTCAACCTGGCACCCTCAAGATGATATGGACCACAACTCTGATCCTAAATGTGGGCACCAGCTTGGGGAAGGCTGGTTGGTCTAAGACATCTGGACATCCTGGGGTGCGGGAAACCCAATTGGGTAAGAGAACTGTGGTACTCAAACGTGACAACTGTAGGAGGAATTATGATATCTAATGGACATGGAAATGAATTTCCCAGATCTTGGATCTTAGATGAAGATCATGTCGGGGTGACTGAACTCTCTGGACCCTGTGTTTTCTATGAAACAGTAGACGTCTTGCAAGGGAAGATGGAGGCATTTAGCTGTTCTTCCAAGTATCACTCATGCATTTAGACAACTCAAGGGATGCTTCCCAGGGTATGTGTTTCTGTGTGTGTCACAGTGCTTGCTTTCCTCTTCCCTCCACGTTTACCTTTCCTTTTGTGCCATGTCTATTAGGTTGTGAGCCCCTAAGACGGGCCTGCCTGATCTTTTAATACCTCTGCAGTGCTTAGAAAACATCCGCTGCTTGTTTAAAATATTACAGAACAGTCACTCTGGAGAGTTAGGGGTGTAAAATGGAGCAAGGGCCGTCCTTCCGTTTGTTGGGTGCCTTTGGTTTTGTTAAGGTTAAGATTGTCGGCGCTGAGAGAGATCAGAAGGATAAAAAGAGACACCACAGAGAGGAAATAAATGAAGACAGGGAGGGGAAAGAAGCCAGGAAGAGGGAGAGGTGAGAAGACGTCAGCAGAGAGGGAAGCGTCATGTTTGATCAAAGGGCGTCATTTGGAGATGCCAAAAGAAAAAGCAATATGAGAATCTGCCTACGGGCATGTTGGCACTGGGATAATTTGTGGGAGCTCACACTCCCTTTTGAAACCTTGAAGCTGAAAAAGGATAAATAGTCCCTGTTTGAAACAGGAGTGATGGGCTGCAGCTCACTCTCCAGCAAGCTGGCTCTTGTCGATGGGCATGGACTCTGCTCACCAGCAAGGATACTCATTTTGCAACACAAGCTGGCAGGTGAGGATGGCAAGAGTCTGATGTGCCGTGGAGTGAATCTGGTGTTGGCGCTCCACCGGAAGGACAGCCTTCTAATGTGCAACCAGATCACAAGTCCCAAACAACACAAGTAAGGTAAAGGTAAAGGGGTAAAGGGACCCCTGACCATTAGGTCCAGTTGTGACTGACTCTGGGGTTGTGGCGCTCATCTCGCTTTATTGGCCGAGGGAGCCAACGTACAGCTTCCGGGTCATGTGGCCAGCACGACTAAGCTGCTTCTGGCGAACCAGAGCAGTGCACGGAAATGCCATTTACCTTCCCACCGGAGTGATGCCTATTTATCTACTTGCACTTTGACGTGCTTTCGAACTCCTAGGCTTGCAGGAGCTGGGACCGAGCAACGGGAGCTCACCCCGTCGCGGGGATTCGAACCGCTGACCTTCTGATAGGCAAGTCCTAGGCTCTGTGGTTTAACCCACAGCGCCACCCGCATCACAAGTAAACATGCATCAAATTGGGCAGAAATGGATTGATCCAGTATAGTGTAGTGATCGGAGTGTCGGACCTGGATCTGGGAGACGGGGGTTCAATTCCTGTCTCTGCCATGAAGCTCGCTAGGTCAGTCACTGCCTCTCATCCTACCCTACCTCACAGGGTTGTTGTGTGGCTAATGTGGAGAAGGGAGCAAACTGTGCACACCACCTTGTACTCCTTGGAGGGAGGGCGATACAGAAATGTAATAATAAACAAACAAAGTGGTCACTATACTGAAGACTGTTGTGGGACAGAGGGCAATCTTGGTCCTTGGCTACAGGGTGAGCTGCAGTCATTGGAAAGTAAACTCACTCACTGAACCATACATGTGGTCTGAATATCCAAAACATACATTTAAAGCAATATGATACCATGCTAAACTGTCACAGCTTCCCGCCTCCAAAAAATCAGTTTGTTAAGGGGTGCTGAGAGTTGCTAGGTGGTTCCTGTTCCTCTCCCAGAGTTCCAGTTCCAAGAGTGGTTTAACAAACTAATCCCTCTTCCCAGTTAACTCTGGGAATTGTAGCTCCGCGAGGCGGAATGTGGGTCTTCTAGCAACTCTTAACATACCACAGTCCACAGAATTATTCACAGGGAGCCATGGCTGTTTAAAGTGGTGTCATAACACTTTTGCCAGATTCCTGCCCTGTTCCTAGTGCTGATGCAGAATTCGCATTCCCCACAGTCCAGACGAGTCCTTCGTTCTGTGAGGCTCGCTGCCAATCTGCTAGACTTGAATGGGGACACAGCGAGTCCACCCCGAAGGATCTGAAAACTGAGCATGAGAGTACGGGCTTGTCTGCACTTCTGTTTGTGCCATTGCCTAGAAATCACATGTCTGAGCAGGTCGAATCTCCCAAAATCCATATATAAATCCAACTAAGATGATTTCCTCTTCCATCTCTAGTTTCAAATCCCAGTAGGGAAGCTGCCATCTTGATAAGAAGCCAGACGACAAATAGAAAGGGAAAGTGAGATGAGGGGATGGGCAGATAGACAGGATGGGGAAGGATTGATAAAGTTTGTGCATGGAAACGGATGAATGGAAAGCAGAGATGAACCAAACAATGAGAAGAATAGCTCCACACATTGCATTTTAACATTGCCTAGAGTTTTGTGCATGCCCATAAATTTATACTGTATGGAGTCGGGAAACAGGTGCAAATGTGTCCTCTCACCCGGGAGATGGGACTGCCTCCATCTCATCCGCATCAGGTAAGAGCACACCTGGTGGCAAACAAGAATCGGCTACAAGAAAGAGCATGATATAAACAGACAGAAAAAGAGAAGCCTGGAAAGGAAGGGGGGGGACAAATCCGAGAAGGAAAATACAGAAACGATCATAGAGGTGCAGACAGCAATTAATTCTCAGCCTTAAGAAGAGATCCTGGTTTGGAAGATTGGAATTCTATGCAGGGTTGAAGGCAGCTGGGGTTGTCCAGGATCTTTAAGGAAATCCCAAGAAATGTCAAAGGTGTTTTTTGGGTTTTATTTTACCCCTTCCCCTGGTGATTCAGGGATGCAGGAGGAGAGCAGAGCATTTAAGGGAGGGTCGAGGCAGCACAGGGCATTCTTGGCAGAGTTCTCAGTTGCAATGGATGCAGTGCTGGGTCTATTTAAGCAGGGTGAGGGTTGGGAGGTGGGAAGAGGTTGGAGGCCCAGGCAAGTCTGCAGGGCTGGGGAGATCAATTCCCAAAGGATGTGGATAAAAGCAAGGGAGAAGCGGAGGAGACAGAGGATGCTGGAGGAATAAGCTCACCCATCACCTCTCCCAGAACAGGGAAGGTCTAGAGATAGAAATGCAATATGCGAGGATCCTGAAAATCACTAAATGTCCTAATTTAAACATCCAGTTCTTATATGGTTAGGGGCAGCCGGAGTGGTTTTTCTGGCATGATGATCAGGTCTCATGAGCTGCTTCAGAACTGCCTGCCTATTGATATCAAGCAGGGACCTTCTTTGTATTCTAAGCCTATCCAGATGTTTGGAAATTTGATGTGAGTTTTAGCCTGTTTTGAGCCTATTGTTATTTTAACTTTTCAAACGTCTTAAATCGGTGGTTCCCAATTTGCTGACCAGTGTGGAACCCCTATTTTGTTTTCAAAAGCGAAGCCACAAACCCCCTACTTTGGAAAATTTTGATATCTGCATGGTGGTTTTTGTTATGTGAATGGTGCTACAGACCCCCTGGGTGTGTTATAAGCAGATCCCCCTTTTTAAATCATTGTTATTTTTCCTTATTGGTAATTTTATTGTTATCTTTTTAAAAAACCATGTTGAGGGTCCCCCCCTTTTACAATCAAGCAGTGTAAAAAAATTATTATTAAATAAGAAAGAAAGAAAGAAAGAAAGAAAGAAAGAAAGAAAGAAAGAAAGAAAGAAATTGGAGCCCAGATCAGGACTCGTCACTGCCTGCTTCAACCCATTTCCTGAAATGTTTTCCACCATTGAACTGCAATTGGGGAAGATGGTAAAAGTACCCACACAATGATTAAACTAATGTACTCAAATCCACCATGCCCCAACGAAAAGCCAATTCATGTGGATGTTATCATGCATCAAAAATGGTTGTGGGAACCAGTGTTGGGAGTGCAATGCTTAATGTCACTCTAACAGGATAATAATAATAATAATAATAATAATAATAATAATAATAATAATAATAAGTTGTTATAGGAACAACTGTTTAGAAACTGGTGCTGGAGTTTTGGTTTTCCTCTTCCCTCCCTGTTCCTTTTCCCTCTTATATCGTGGTTTTTTGTTTTTTGATTCTTTTAGATTGTAAAATTGCAGGATAGGCTCTGTCTTGTTTTGAACAACCAGGCCACCCTGGGAAGCTGGGAAGACTGAACAGCAGGGAGAAACTAAATAAATAAAGACCTGCCAAATAATAATAATAATAATAGACCTGCCAAGGGCTGACCTAGCTGTGATAAATAAAGGCAGTCATTTTCATTCAAGTATAAAGTGAGTCTATTTTTTTTTATACGAGAAGGGGCACAGAGGGGAGGGCACCTGAATCTTCTGCCCCTCCTCCCATGCCCCCTAACCTCCAACACTTTCCCCCTTGGAAAGCGCTTGAAGGAACAGGGCATGAAGAGGGTCTCAGCCCGTCATCAATGCCAGAGTCCCCTTCGATGTAGGAAAGCCACTTCTGCACTTCGGAGGAGGTCGGGCTGCGGGCTTCACAGCCCCACCATGTGTGCGGAGGGTGGAACCCAGCCCTTGCACGATTGGGGGTATTCCCAGCCACGTCACCTCCTGGCCAGCCAATCAGCTGGCTTAGGGTGTGTGGCCTGCCTTATTTAAACCAGGAGGCGACCGGGGATCTCCCTCTTTGCCGCCTGCCAGCTGTTAATGCTTTTCCCACCGTCCCGCCCTATAAGGTTTTCATTCCTTGACCTTGCTATGGACCTTGGTTGGTTGCCGTTGAGGGGCCTGGTAGGAATTTTTCCACGTGGCAAATTGGCACCAGCCACTTGGTTTTTCACCTACCTCGTAGCAAATCGGCACAACTTTCTGGGTATTGGCGGTTAGGCATTGGTATTGTTCTGTAGATGGAAGAGGGGAGGTAGCGCCATCACCTGCCCCGCATATTGAAGGCTAGTCCGGTAAAGGATTCTGGGGGGCGTGGCCCCGTCCGAAGCCTAGGGAGATTAGGGCCTAAGGCACGCCCCCAATTGGTGACCCCAGGGGAGTCCCTAGTTGATGTGCATCAGCAGGACTCCCCCTACTGGTGGTTAACCCTTCCCGGACTTCAAGCGGATGGGCTGGAGTCAGATATAGTGGTTAGGACCAATGCCTAAGCCAATACCGCTCATCACCTGTAACCAATAAAGTTGTGGCCTTATTTAGCCATTAACCTTAATTATTGTGTCATGTGTCATTATTTTCATTGGGGAGGGGCAGGAACTGGCCACAGAATTAGACCCTCCCATGCCATCCTGGCTCTAGATGCGAATGGTGCAGTCATGGGATTAAGTCAGCCTGGCTTCCACCAATGTGTCCAGTTTGGGCCTAGGCCTCTTCTTGCTCTATGTATGCCCCTTCCAAAAGCCTGTCCCCATGGAGGTTGCCGTTGACCTCAGCCAAGCCCCAAGCATATAGGAAGGCAGTGGAGGAGAGTTAGCCTACAGGAGATGGGAGGAGGCAGGAGCTCTTGAGGGGCAGGAATAGCCGGGAGCAGCTCAGACGCACAGACCAGACGCAACGCAACTTTTGACACAAACAGACAGCAAGGATATATATCATAAGAAAGAAAAGGAAATAAAGGTCAAGTTCAATCCCCAAACCAGGTCACTTGTTGATTTCTCACCTGTGATGTGCTCACCTGATCTACAAGCCATATCCACGTCCTTCTCGAAATCAGTCTGGAAGACAGAGAAAACAGGAGGGGGCGGTGGTCAACAAGGCGGAGGGTATGGGGGAGGTTATGGGGTGGCAGAGGAAAGGGGGGGCCTCAAATCCATCATTACTGGCACATTTCCAGAACTAGCAAGCAAAGAGTCACAACAACAAGACCCTGGCATGAACAAAAGGGGGAGTTATTGAGAGGTGAAGGTGTTCAGTTGCATCCAGACAGGGGCAATATTGTCTTCCTGATTATAATTTGCCATCGTCCACTTCTGCCCCGTTGTCTAATGTTCCTTTCACACTGCAGCACCTATGGCATTATGGAACTGTGGCTTTTTGTCAATTCACTCCCACAATTCCCTCCAGTCTTTGATGGGCGCAGATGATGGTCTGAATGCGTAACCAGATTTTTCATTTAGATCTGTATCTGAAACCATTCTGAGCTATCAGCCTCGTCAATGGACAATTTCCAACTGAGTTAGGCGGGGAAGGTTTCGTTAAATCAGAAATGGCTCTTTGTTTCAGGTTCTTGAACGTCAAACAAAAGGCAGATTTCAGTGTATCTTGTGCAGCGTCAGACTCGCACCCAAGTCTCCCAACTTTTGGCGATGTGAAACTTCTCCCAGGCCTTTGGCCAATTAAACAATCTGTTTTAAATGGGACGGGTTTCTGTTTTTTACTGTGGTATGTATTTGTCAGAGCTGCCTCAGGTCCCAGCTCACAGAGGACCAACGCCAGTCCGTTGTTATATGAAATAGTCTTTATTGAAGTTGAGTTTCTCATTTACAGCCACGGCGCGCAGCTCTACGTCTTAAACCCTAGACCGCCGAAGCTCCGTCTGAGTCTCCTCCCCCCAGACACCAGTTTAAGACCCTAGCTTTGCTCCACTTCTTCCTCTGCTCCCTCCTCCTCTGGGTCCGCTTGTCCGCCGAGGTCTTGCCCTTCCTAGACTCTTCTGACGCTGAGTCCCCTGAGTCTTCCCCCTCCCTCCGGCGGGCTTTAGGACCTGGTTCCCAATCCGGGTTTTCTGTTGTCCCGCGCGCCTGTACATTTGAACTTGGCGCGCGCGCCCAGCCTGCCACCTTTCTCCTGACCGTTATACTGCTCCTGTCACTGCTTCCCTCTTCGGGGGTGCTAGCTGGGTCTGACTCCTCCTCCCTGCTTGCCAGAGGAGACGCTGACTCTGACCTATGAGGCTCTTCCCCCCCACTACGCTCTGGTGGGGAAGCTGGTCCTGATTTCCAGCTACTGCTTTGGGAGTCTCCACTGGCCCCCTGCTTCTGGTGTGTCCCCCCTGGGACCCCCCTTGCCCTGGCCATCGGCGCCCCCTTCTGGGAATCTTCTGATTCACTGGAGAGGCTCATGGAATCTCTCGGGTCACTGTCATTCTGCCCTCCGCTGCCCTCAGATTCTTCCCCTTCGTTCTCCATTTCCTCTCTCCCCTGTGCCTCTGCTCCTGAGCCCCTGACAGTATTGTTGTGTTTTTATATTGTCAACATCCTTGTGATCCTTGGATGAAGGGTACTGTATTAATAATAATAATAATAATAATAATAATAATAATAATAATAATAATAATAATTTTTCCTGGGCTAAGTGAGCTGCAATTTCTGGAATCACCTAACACAGAAATTAGCACCAAACATGCACTATATTCCATTAATTTTCTGGAAGCGGCTTTTATGTCGCATGAAAGCTCAAATATAATATGGAAATTAAGAGTTAGAGAAATGTTGGGGAAATGAGGAAAGGCTGGGTGAATGCTGCCTTTGGCAGGAATCAACATATTATAGGGATGGAGACAATTATGCCAATCCTTCTTCACGTCTGATCCTGTCTAATTTGCTTTCTGAGAATCTGAGAATCCTCCGGAAAAATAGGACCTGTTGATGGCATTTTACCATTGTACTGTGGAGAGTGTATTAACTTATGGTCTGTGTGTGTGGTTTGGGAGCTGCACGGCCAGGGAAAAAAGAATGCTGTCCAGGGTTGTAAAGACTGTGGAGAGAATAATTGGGTGCCCTCTTCCCACCTTGGATCAAATCTACACTTCAAGGTGCCATAAGGATGCTGCAGAGATAGCACACGATAGTGCGCACCCTGGAAATGATCTCTTTCAGCTTCTATCTCCTGGAAGAAGGTCCAGGGTTATAAAGACTAGGACTAGTCGCCTGAGAAACAGTTTCTATCCAAATGCGATTTTGGTTTTAAAAGCAGTGTAAGGTAGCCTCTGTGGGAGTATATTGTATTTAATTATGGGGTATCAGAGTTTTTAGGGGGCTAATCAGGCTGGGATAGCAGGCTTGTTGGTTTTTGAATGTCTGATGTAGATTTTTTTTCAATTTCGTTGTTCTGTCTGGGACAATGACAATAAAGATTATCATATAAAGTTTATTGTATCGTTATGTGTGTGGGAAGGAAGCTGGTAGCAGCTTGTGCATATTCTTGCGCATATCAGCAGGAGGAGAAAACTGCGTGCCGAGACTCTTCTGCAAGCCAGTTGGCGGGTCAGAGACTCATTCAGATATGCATCCCGTCGAACGCAACAGATCGGAAAAGCAGAATCTGAATCCAGATGCACATTCAATGCACATTCAGTTGAAGATAGTGATTGGAGAAAGGTCTGAGCAAAATGGAACAATGGTCTGATTCAGCACAAGACAACTTCTTACAAGTATGAATTCTCAAGAGAGCCTTTTGTGGCTGTGCAAGAGCTAACTGGGCAGAAAAGTGGAATATTCTGTGGAAATCAAGAGACATTTTTTTCCAAGACCAAGCATGCATCCTGGTAATTTATGAGACTAGTAGAGCTGATTTTCCCTTCATTTCATTTCTCTCTTTAGTTAAATAATAATAATTATTATTTTTAAAAGAATCAAGGTGGTGTACACTGAAACTATTAAAGCCACCTAATGAAGAACAAACGACAAACACAGAATCCAGTTCATTCTCTAAAAACACTTGGTTGAAATACGTACATTTTCAGCAGATGACATCAGGATTATAGGTGCCTGCCTGATTCCCATAGGAACAGTGTCCCAAGTTACTGTTGCCACTACGCTAAAATCCTAGGTTTGCCTAGAGACTTAAACTAATACGGGATAACTCTGGGACTGTTAGGAGGGTTCCTCCTGATGATCACAAGTGATCTGGCCTGTTGTGTACAAGGGACGAGGTGGCCTTTCAGATAACCTCATCCTAGGCCATTTAAAACTTTGGATACTACTAATAATACCTGGAACCTAATTTCATATTGGACTGACAGCCGGTGCAGGGCTTTCTGCACAGCTGTGGCGTTGTTTTAATCTTTCAAAATATAAAGCAACTGGTACATTTCCATAAATGAAATATATAAAGCATTATTTAATCATCTAACCTATGGGAAACTTGGTGCAAGCGAATGGGGATGAATGGAAAATAAACAGGCTGTCTGAAGGTGACCTCACAGACATGTGGAGTCAATGCGGGACTCCATGAATTTGAAAGTGGCACCGCCCTTGTCACACTAATTATTATTATTATTATTATTATTATTATTATTATTATTATTATTATTTTATTTGCACTCTGCCCACCTGACTGTGTTGCCCCAGCCCCCCTGGGTGGCTTTAGACAAATATAAAAGCATAATAAAACGTCAAACATTAAAAACTTTAAAGCCCTAAACAGCCTCGGTCCAGTATACCTGAAGGAGTGTCTCCACCCCCATCGTTCTGCCCGAACACTTAGGTCCAGCACCAAGGGCCTTCTGGCGGTTCCCTCACTGCGAGAAGTGAGGTTACAGGGAACCAGACAGAGGGCCTTCTCGGTAGTGGCACCCGCCATGTGGAACGCCCTCCCACCAGATGTCAAGGCAATAAACAACTATTTTACTTTTAAAAGACAACTGAAGGCAGCCCTGTTTAGGGAAATTTTTAATGTCTGATGCTGTATTGTTCTTAATATTCAGTTGGAAGCTGCCCAGAGTGGCTGGGGAAACTCAACCAGATGGGCGGGGTATAAATAATAAATTATTATTATTATTATTATTATTATTATTATTATTATTATTATTATTAAACTTTGCCAGACTGAGCTGCCTTCAGATGTCTTCTAGAAGTTGCTATTTAACTCCCTGACATATGACGGGAGGGCATTCTGTAGCATGGGTGCCACTACCAAGAATGCCCTCTGCCTGGTTCCCTGTAGCATCACTACCAAAGAGAAAAGCTGCATTTTCCTCATTTCTTTACGGAGGAACAAGAGGCACTTTATCCTACCATGAGCTGAGCATGTCCGTTCTGAAATGACCCTCCGGAATCTCCATTTCCTTCTTCCTGGCGGTCCACCACTCGGCATTTCACAGCATCCTGTACCTGGGAAAATGCATGGCATGAGAGAGAATTGGATCAAAGTGTCAGAAGGAGCAAAAGAAACAGAATGAGGAGCAGTAAGTCATTTCAGCACCAGGACAGAGGCACACCCAGCAGAATCTGCTTAGAGCAGGGGTCGGCAACCTAAGGCCCACGGGCCACAAGCAGCTATGGACCCCTGCCACCCCCTCAGTCAGCTCCTATGCTCTGTGCTAAACCAGTGCGGAGCAGAGCGGGGACTGCCTTCCGTGATGCTGGCTGGCTTCCCATTGGCTGCAGGAAGCTCCTGCAGCCAATGGGAAGCTGTGCACGCCTCCTCCGTGCCGGAAGGAGCGCCGGAAATAGCATTTGCGCATGCGTGTGCGCTCACACACACTCTGGCCCACCGCGGAATCTGCGGGACTGTGAACTGGCCCAAGCCACAAAAACTTTGCCTAACCCTGGCTTAGAAAAAATAAAAAAATCCTTCCTGTAGCACCTTAAAGACCAACTAAGTTAGTTCTTGGTATAAGCTTTCGTGTGCATGCACACTTCTTCAGATACACAGATATTTGTGTATCTGAAGAAGTGTGCATGCACACGAAAGCTTATACCAAGAACTAACTTAGTTGGTCTTTAAGGTGCTACAGGAAGGATTTTTTTATTTTGACTATGGCAGACCAACACGGCTACCCATCTGAACCTGGCTTAGAAGTTTCATTGCAATTAGGCAGTATATGCATGTTGTGAAATAAATAAATAAAATTTATAGAATGAGTCCCTATAACAACGGGATAATAACGGGATGAGGGCGGAAAGAGAATGGGCCCTCAATTTTTTTTAAGGAAATGGTACTAGAATTTATCAATTCATCCATATTTATTAAGCAACGTCCCCACTGACTGTGGAGGCAGAACATCGCCATCATGGCTTAGAGCCACAGATAGCCTTCTCCTCCACAAATTTGTACAATCCTCTTTTAAAGCCTATCTAGGTTGGTGGCCATCACTGCCTCCATAGTTTGAACATGCACTGTGTGAAGAAGGACTTTCTTCACTACTGTTTAGCTAAAGATTATGGGATGGGAATCAGTGTGGCTTGTAGATTTTATTAAAGCCCCCTATACCCCACCTCCCTGTGCTATTTTCCTAGAAAAAGATGTGCCAGAATTCGCCACTAACATCTCCCTTGTCCTCTTATAATGGAAATGGCGCCCACCTGAGAGGGACCAGAACTGAGTTCGAATATGACACAAACTGAATCATGGGTTCTTGGGACCCAGGCAATGACTCCTGATGTTTTTTTTTGTGTGTGTGTTAGGACAGTCATTCGGTATACAGTCATAGCTCGGGTTACAGACACTTCGGGTTGCGCGATTTTGGGTTGCGCACTGCGCCGAACCCGGAAGTGCCGGAACGGATTACTTCCAGGTTTTGGCATTTGCACATGTGCAGAAGGGCTAAATTGCACCTTGCGCATGTGCAGAAGGGCTGAATCTCACCTTGTGCATGCACAGAAGCGCAGAATCGCGACCCACACGTGCACAGACACACAGGTTGCGAATGCTACAGGTTGCGAACATGCCTCCCGCACAGATCACGTTCGCAACCCAAGCGTCCACAGTATATGAAACTAAATTCAATGGAGGAACGGGGATGAAAAGATTCACTCTCATCCTGACCCTCCATTATGGAAGGTGCTGGAACTCGGTTCCAGTGAGTTCTGGCTTGAAAAAAGCCCTGCCAACGCCCAATCAAGCCCTAGTTGGGGCTTTACATTCATTGGAACCATATAGAAAGACAGATCAAAGGAGACTGAGACAATGCCATCTCATCCAGTAATTGTGCAAAGCAAGATATGGTCTTTTCTCAAGCAAGGCAAGAATTGAGTTTGGGCTAAGCCGAACGAGTATACCTGAAGGAACGTCGCCACGAACGTCGCCATCATTCAGCCGGGACACTGAGGTCCACCTCCAAGGGGCTGCGAGAAGGTAGGTTACAGGGAACTAGGCAGAGGGCTTTCTCGGTGGTGGCACCCGCCCTCTGGAACGCCCTCCCATCAGATGTCAAGGAAATAAACAAGTATCTGACTTTTAGAAGACATCTGAAGGCAGCCCTGTTTAGGGAAGTTTTTAATGTTTGATGTTTATTATTATTATTATTATTATTATTATTACAGTGATACCTCTGGATGTGAACGGGAACCATTCCGGAGCCCCATTCGCATCCAGAAACGAACGCAACCCACGTCTGTGCGTGCGCGGGTCGCGATTCTCTGCTTCTGTGCATGCGCGTGACATCATTTTGACCGTCTGTGCATGCTCCGTTACTTCCGGGTTGCCACAGCGTGCAACCCGAAAATACTTATCCCGAAGCTACTTCAACCTGAGGTATGACTGTATTATTATTATTATGATGATGATGATGTTGGGAGCCGCTCAGAGTGGCTGGGAGAAACCCAGCCAGATGGGCGGGGTATAAATAATAAATTATTATTAATTATTATTATTATTATGCCTGCTCAGATGCTCACCTCTCTTCTCAGGATGCAGTGGACCATCACAATGACAAAGCCTTCCAAGGAGTCGAAGACTGCGAAAAGAATTTGGAAGAGGGCTGACCGGCGGTCTGTGATGGCCAGCACTGCTGACATCCAGGTGAGGGCCAGGAGAGGTAGGACCACACAGGAGCTCCACAGCGATGCCCTGCAAGAGGGAAGAGAAGAGACCATCATTGAGCCTTCCTTGCCATTCCAGTTGCGACGCAGCAGCCGCTCATGCGAGCGGATCCCGCAAACCTCTGCTTTCCCAAGGGGTGACAGAGGAATAATTTCTGGTAGAGGCAGGGTTGTCCCGAACGGTTTCCGAGCTATCAACGGGACATTCTGGTCGACCGAGGAAAGGGGCTGACAGGGTTTCTGACCAAGGAAGGAGCCATATGTAAACATAAAATAACGATGCACACTGAGAAAACAGGTGGGACCGTGGTGTAGTGGTTAGAGTGTCGGATTAGGACCTGTGAAATCAGGGTGTGTATCCTCTTACTTGGCCATGAAACTCACTGGGTGATCTTGGGCCAGGCACTGCCTCTCTCAGTCCAACCCACCTCACAGGGGTGTCGTGGGGCTTAACTGAAGAGGTGGAGAACAATGGGTTGTTCAATAAGGAGTGGGAGAACCATGTATACCACCTTGAGCTCCTTGGAGGGAAAGGTGGGATAGAAAATTTAATAATAATAGTAATAATAATGATATTAATGCTTACCCTAACGTAACCTACACACTCCACACCTAAGGTATAGTCTATGGGCTAGGGTTTGAGGATGACAAGTGGTTGTGTCTTCATCTTAGAATCCTATGGGTGCAACTTCACACACCTTGACCCCCTCATCCTCTGCTTTGCGTTCCATCTTGCCTGATGGAGAACAAAAAAGCTCTCCACACTTTTCTGATATCTTGGTAGGTACCAGTAAATGTATTACCCAGCTGTTGATTTTGGATCTCTCTCTCAGAGCTTCCAGGAAAACTACCTGTTTGCTCTTGCAATCACTTTCTGGATCCTGAGGAGACTCCTTTAGAGTAGAAAATCTGCTTTAATTATACCTGATTTGCCTTAGATTAGTTAAATTCTGAATCGAGAATGCCTTAATGTGCTGTTTAGCCATGAGCGAGATTCGATGACTGCTAGTTTTTCCCCCAATGATGCATAAAGCATCTCTCTGTTGCCCAAGGGGCATTCAAACAAAGACTGCCAAAGTGGACCAATCTTGAGCTTCAGATTTCAAACGGACAAGAAGACAGTCCAATACAAAGCGTTTGGGTCCCTGCAATTCATTTTGGAGAGGTTGCGTGAATTGCTAAATGAGTACTCTGTGCCCAAGCCCAAGAAAGGCAGTGTGATGTAGTGGTTAGAGTGTTGGACTAGGGCCTGGGAGACCGGAATTCAAATTTCCACTTGGCCATGAAGCTCACTGGGTGACCTTCGACCACTTACTGCCTCTCAGCCTAAACTACCTCACAGGGGTGTCATGGGGCTTAACTGAAAAGGTGGAGAACCATATCTACCACCTTGAGCTCCTTGCAGAAGAAGGTGTGTGTGTGTGTGGGGGTGGAAATAATGCAATGATGAATCCAGGCTTGCCTCATGTATACTGGGTTTTTAAGATGTGCTATATCTTCCATGCAATCCATTATTTTTAGATCTTTCCACAAAACAGGTCTTTATTCACAAGAAGCCCAAAAATTCTTGTGATATTTTTGGAGGCGATTCCCCCTTTTTGAACCAGCCCCAATTTGCAAAAACAACTACATGAGAGAGAGAGAGAGAGGTCTACTTATGTGACAGTGCAACATAAGCCTGTTTGCAGAAAATGCGGGAGCAAATATTTCAAGCAGGATGTGTGTGGAATAAGGCAACATCAGCTGGGGAGGGTCATAGCTCAGTGGTAGAGTATCGGCCTTGCAAGCAAAAGGTTCCAGGTTCAATCCCCGCCATCTCCAGGTAGGGTTTGGAAAGACTCCGTATCTGAAATCCTGGAGAGCTTCTGCCAGTCAGTGTAGGCAATGCTGGGTTAGATGGACCAAAAGCAGCTTTGTGTGTTCCTGTTGCAGCTGGGTCTTCTCTGAGTATTCATCTATTTCATTTCATGCTATATAATAGACACTTGGGTGGAATCAAGGCCAGTTCATAACTTGGGGAAAGTCTTACTTTGATAATACATGAGCAAAGAGTTCAAAAGGGGGCATGGGATTCTCTTTGGACTGGCAGAGTGGGATTTGATTAAAAAAGGTATAGTTTTCAAATTGAGCCATAAATCTGGTAAAAACCAACAACACAAATCCATACCCTGCACCCCAAAACTCCACCATCCACCTCCTCTTTTCAGGTGTGCTCCCCACCTCAAACATATGACATTGACTAGCAGGACATCCCAACAAAGGCACCCTTTTGCAACTTGAAAGTTAATAAAATGGACTTAGGGACATGCACAGGGTGGGAAGAACAGAACCCAGCCCAATCCAAAAAAGTGAACAGAAACAACACATGGAACAGGGGCGGGGAGACGGAAAGAGATCAATGAGACAGTAGCACAGGTAATATTCCATGCAAGGAAGAAGAGAGTCAATTTGTCCATCATTTCTCTAAGAGATCAGTTGTTGGGATTCTGCATTTGCAGTAATTAGGAGCCGTTCAGATTTGCTTATCCCTGAGCCATCCATTGCAAAAGGGAATCTTGAGTCTTGATGAGACTTTTCCACTAGGCGACGTACCAAACCCAGCCTTAGGTCCTCTTCCTCACTTCCTTGAAGCACTTGCAGTTTCTGCCAGTTCTAGCAATGGATAACATTGATGACCCTAACATGGGGGAGGGCTGTAGCTCAGAGGTGGTTCAACCCCCAGTGTCTCTGGGTAGGACTGGGAGAGTTCCCAGCCTGAAACCCAGTCAGTGTAGACTGTGTGAACTAGATGGACCAAAGGTCCGATTCTGTACAGGGCAGCTTTCTATGTTTCGGTGTTCCTATGAGTCTGTCTGCTACAAATTCACATGCTCAAATTTTGTGCAAACGGATAGTCAAAGGTGCCCTTTCCATAATTTAAGCAACAGGTTTCCCCCCAAACACCTTCATAATAGGAAGCCAGGAAGGGGATCAGGAGGCATCTCCCCAATTTTGGGGGGTTGTTAATTCTCAGATATCAGGGGTACACATGCAAGAGCTGAAGGTGGCATGGAAATGGGAGATTCCGAAGGAACAGGTAGGCAATGAGCTCACGTGGGGCAGAAAGGAAGGAAGGAGAACCTGGTTGAAGAGATTGCCAGGAGAGCGATGTGAGGAAATTTTAGGGGATGCTGAAGCCGGGAGCTGCAGGGAGCAGGTCTGAAGGAGAAAGGTGAGTTGAGCAGTATGGAGAAAGATGGGTGCATGAAGAAGAGGTCTCCTGGAGGTAGGGCAAGGATAAGGCAGGGAGGAAGGTCCAGCAAGGAGAAGCTTAGGATGCTCTATGAAAGAGTCACAGGGAGCAGTGAGAAGAAGAAAGGCAAGTGTTTCATGCGCCAAACAGGAATCAGCAGCAGGATTGGAGAAAGAGATGTGAGAAGACGAAGGCAAGGTAGAAGCAGAATGTACGTCTCTGGGGTCTTCAAGGGTCTTGGACTGCAATAGGACTATCTGTTTCTATCTTTAGGCCATGGCTCCCTTAGAGTGGAAAAAAAGGAAGTCAGCGTGAAGGCAGGAGAAGAGGCGAAAGGGTGAAGGAAGTGTGGAATGTTTCAGGTTTTTGAACAGCAAGGCTGTTTTACTGGGGGGGTTTCCCTGCAAAGCTAATTTCTTATAGTTTCTTATTAACCACAATAGGATTCAGAATGCAGCAGTCTGATTGGTCCTAGAACAATAGGATTCAGAATGCAGCAGTCTGATTGGTCCTAGAACAACAGGATCCAGAATGCAGCTGGCTGATTGGTTCACAGGAGCCACCCAATCCAACTCCAGGTGGAAGTGAATCCGCAACCTGATTGGCCTACAGGAGAATCCCAGAATTAGCCAATCATGTGGGGCCCATTGTGTAAATAATGTATATAAAGCAGACATTTTGGGGGAACTTCCATTCCTCACTACTATGAGCTGAATAAAGAGCATGAAATCCACCCTCAACTGTGAGTATATTTCAACCAGGTTGCAAAAATCTTGTCATTCCTATAACAGCATATAGGTAGAACACTGTATTGATCAGCTGAGAAGAAGGCCTGGCTGGTGGAGGTCTTGTCTTAATCACAATCGCCTTGTCTTAATCAACAGGGTCTTGGACAAACCTTTACCCCAACCACAGCTGGAGGTTTGCTTTTCTTCTACAGAGAGGAGGGATCAAAGATGACTTCCCGCCACCCTTCCTCCCAAAATGCTGTATGTCTTTGAGATGAAGGAGGAGGACAGTGTCTGTGAGAGCAGAGCACAGCAGATTTCGGGTAGGACGGGAGCTCTGTGAGGAGCTAGAAGATGCCAGAAGAACAACCAGGGTAGATATGGGTGAGGGATATGGAACAGCACAAAAATTGCACTTCAGGCCTCTATTCTAGGCAGTCTCCCTCCATCTCAACCTCTTCTTAAGCCCAACACAAGAAAAATGTCTACAGTTACTCCTCATTCTCTTTTCTTTTCTATCCCTTGCCCCGCTCCCTTAATACCTAGCAAAGCCATCTTCAACTTGGCTTTCTCCAGCTGCTTTGAGCTACCATAACTCAGGAGTGAGCTTCGGTTCTGCTGCTCCGGGGGGTGGGACCTGAACTGATGGATTCAAATTACCAGAAAGAAGATTCCAACTAAACATTAGGAATAACTGCCTGATAGCAGGAGCTGTTTGACAGTGGGACAGACTCCCTCGGGAGGTTGTGGACGCTCCTTCCTTGGGGGGTTTTAAGCAGGGGTTGGGTGGCCATCTGTCAGGGATTCTTTAGCTGCGATTCCTGCATTTCAGGTCAATTCTGTGTCCAGGGCAGCTGTTTATCAGCTCCATCTGGTACACAGGCTGAGACCCTACCTGCCCATGGACTGTCTTGCCAGAATGGTGCATGCTCTAGTTATCTCTCGCTTGGACTACTGCAATGCGCTCTTCCAGGAGCCCAGCTTTGAAGGTGACACGGAAACTACAACTAATCCAGAATGTGGCAGCTAGACTGGTGACTGGGAGTGGCTGCCAAGACCATATAACAC